TATCTCTTCCAGCCGATCGTTGAGATCCTTGATTTTGATGCCCACCTCATGTCTGAACTTGACCTCGTCGCTTAAGCCAGCAAAGATGGAAAATATGTTGCCTTTGAACCGCTTCGGAGGGGACTCTCTCGGGGTGCACTTCTCGGCCGCGGTCCGCCACTCGTCGAGGACGTCGTCGGCGTCGTACATGACATCCTTCAGCTCCATCAGCCAGTCGTTGACGGCCTTGTCCTCGATCCGCCGCTTCTCGGCGTCGCGAAGGACAGACTGGATGTTGCGGAGAGTGCTTTGGAGGTTTTGGATCTCCCCGGGGACTCCCAACCACAAGTCCACCTTCTCTTTAGCCATGTCCATCAACGTACCGACCAGCCCGGAGACGACGGAATCGGCCATCTTTGGTCCCAGAGTGGGAGTAGAGTAGCTGTCTCCAAGTATTGTGGCAGCCAAGGCAAGGGTGAGTGAGGTGCAAGTTATACCTGCATAAACCTTTTATTTTTCTAAAAGAACTGACTGGATGTTGCAGAGAGTGTCTTGGAGCTTTTGGATCTCTCCGGGAACGCCCAACACCAAGTCCACCTTCTCCTTGGCCATGTCGAACAATGTTTTGAGGAGCTTGGAGATGAAGGGATTCAGCACCATGGCCATATCTTCTCTCGTCTTTTGTTTTCCTGGTGGAGGTCTTTTTTTCGTGTCGAAGACCGGTCACAATGGTTGGGTGCTCTCTCAAAGCATAGTTTATGTTCGGCAACAAATTGTTATAATGTATGGCCGTTTAGATTAGTATGAATGGGACAAATTGTTATGATGTCAAATATGTGTAGTTTGGAATTGTCAAGATATATAATACGTGGAGAAAATATAATTGTTATGATGTCAGAGCACCACTGAACTCTCAGCAGCATCTCATGAACAAAGCATAGTATCTCCTTCGTTTTTGCGCAGAAGAACCAAGTCATGGTGCAATCATGCTCCGTGGGTTACTTTTATAATAACTTAAATGTAATTTGAGGACCTATTCGAGAATACAGAAATAATAAGGGCTAAAATGTAAAAGATGATTGTGACGAAATGGAAGAAAAGAAGAGGTGAGAGAAAAAGGACAGAGAGAATGATAGAATAGAAGAGGAGGAGAAGAAGAAGAAGAAGAAGAATCTTCCGTAATATTCTATTGGTGCAATAATAGAATATTCTATGGTCTTCCGTAGGCAACTTTGACCTGTGATTTGGCAGGCTGAAAGAAAGGTTGCTATACAGTGTGAATAAAGATTAAAAAAATTGTTGGCTCTTGAATGAGTGATCAATCAAATTTTAGATGTAAAATATCCCTAACAACATTCAAATTCTATGATGGAGCAAGAGATAATTTATTTATAATATTTCCTATCCTCATAAACCAAGGCATAACTTTTTCAAGATAGTTTTTAAGTCATAATACTTATTGTTTCACTTTATCTACATCTCAAAAAAATAATGAAAGCATCATCATATATATCTAGTTATGAAGTTAGTACCATTATCACAATCATGATTCAAAAAATCATTATAATTTAATTTGATCCAATCAAATGCTGAATTTTCCCTTTTAAACAAGCAAAGACAATGACTAATGTTTCTCATGAATTCGATTAGCTTCATTATAACATGAATGTGTGAAATTATTTTAAAAAATAAATCAGAAATAAAATATATTAAATTATTAAAAATAAGATGCATGATTTTGTATAAGAAAACAACTAACCTAATTATATTGATTTTTATTATTTATTTATTATATTAATAATTATCATCAACACAATTAAACCATTATCATTACCAATATCATTACTATTGGGATTAACAATATCGATACCAATATCACTATAACCATCATTATCATTACCATTTATTACCAATACCAAGAACAATATCATTACTAATACCACTAGCATCAACATGAGGAATACCATTATCAATATCATTAACATTACTAGTATCATTACCATTATCATTAGTAAGATCATTACCATTACCATAATCAATATCATTATGATTTACAATTAACAAAATGATTACCATCAACATTACAAATTCTGATATCATTACCAATGTCATAAATGCTATTATCATTATTTATCAATATCAATGTCAAAATCATTATAATTACTATTACCATTATATTTATATCATTTAGTATTATAATTAGTCTTATTACATATACCATTATCATCTTGAGAAAAGGTGAAAGTATTGTGAAAAATCATGAATACATAGCTAACCTGATTGGAAAATGCAAGGAGAACCTGATTAATTAGTTTGAATGGCTAAACCAAAAAAATGCTTATTGAGCTATTATATTAATGTTCCCTTTAATTATTTTGAGAATATCAGAGTTTTTCATGCATAAAGGAATTCAATATGTGCATTTATGCTTTTGTTGACTTAGTTTCAATATGGATTCTAATTGTTAATTTTTCAAAGGAATAAAAAGTTTCCTTTGACTCA